CCACTATCATGGCAGGAGCTTCATTTCGATGCCATTACTCGGGAGTTATAGGATTTTTATGCGGCATTGCCCGAGATTTCGAAAAAATAGCTTTATCGGGTGGAAATAAAATCGATATACGCGAGCAAAATATGCAAGGTTATCTCCAGAGTTGGTTTTGGCGAATTAATAGTGGAATTATTTCGTGAATTGAATTTTTGTGCCGATAAATATGGATTTATTCGGTGAGATTTCTTTGGTGAAATGCGGGCATTTCGAGACAATATTTTAGGCCAGATAATGGCGGATAAAAGTTCGTTCGGGCGTGGTGGTTAGGCCTTCCGGTAATCATGAGACGTTCCGTCGGTTTAAGGAGTTTTTTTTGTGAATCATTTTAAATTTCCGTCGGTTCAAGATTTTCTTATTAGATTCCTATTCGATGTAGCTAGAATTGATTATTATTAACATTATATAATTTTTTCAAGATCTCTTTACATACGATTTGGTGAAAATTTAAATAGTACGAATTACTCATAATATTCTTTCATTGGAGTTTTCCACGGATTTCGAGAAAATTAGTTTCTTTTTCGATGTTATTTATGAGATGATTTTTTGTTACTCGGAAGATATTGGCTTTATTATTTCTTTTTTGTTTGATACGAAATTCAGTTTCGAGCGTGTATCTAACTAGTTTTTTGCTTCCGCATGGAAGCATTGTAATTGACCAAATTTAAGTTTTTGATTTTTCATGTTATATCAACCCAATATGATCCAAGGAGTCCGAAAATGCAATTTTTAGATCGTGTCCGAATGTATGTACGTATGTATGTGTGTATGTAACAAATTTTTTCTTCGATTTTCTTCGATTGCTCGCTAATGAATCGATGGAATTGAATATTTTGTTTTTTCAAATGTAGGTATTATTGAGCCCTATCCATCACCATTAAATAAAGTTCAATTCATTAATTGATTTTTTTTATTTTTGAATTTTTTCAAAAATTATTTTTTTACGATAATTAAAAAAAACGTTCGGAATGAATTGAATGACGGCTGAAAAAATTTGTTTCCATGTCCCCTTGACCGAGTTCGAACATGAAGGTGATAGCAATAATCGTTATTCCAATTTTTCTGAAAATTCGCTTTTTTTTTTTAATTTCATCGATGTCTTTGTAGATCAGGCTTCAAATGGATTCAATAATAGCTCAAAATGTTCCTTTCGATGCCAGTAATTCTAAGTTAAAAGATGGTTATGATAACTGCCTTCATTAATATGATTTTTTGAAATTTTGAAGTTTTCATCAATTTTTCCTTCAAAGTTACGTTTTTGATGATTTCTTCAGATGTGATGGTTCGAATCCATCCAGTTGTGTATAGATATAATATTTTCAATGAAATTCACTCGAAATTTTTTTTTTAAACCCTCGCATTAATTATTTTATCGGAAGAAGATTCAAATTGATTTCATTATTATTAATGAGAATTATTCTGACTTCACATCAGTTGAATAAATAGGAGAAATGAATACATGTATAATAATATTGAGAAAATATATTTCTAGAAAATAGAATTCATGCAAACCTGTTATGAGCAACTAAAATATCAGTTTTAAATCTCTGAGATTTTAGTTATCTGGGGCTCATAACCCATGTTCTCTTCAAAAAACCCAGACAGAAAATACAAAAGAGAACAGGTGTTGATTTTGAACAATGGCGTTTTCTGTATTATTATTTTGTTCTAAGAAGACTTCATAATCATTGTCGCCATTACAAAAACTGGTAAAAAAAAATTATAGCAGAATTTACGTAAGTAGAAAATTCAACACAATGAATTGGGCAGAAAATTATGCAATTCAATGAAACGAAATAAAATATGAATTACATATGATAAGGAAAATAATACATAAAGTGACCATTCGGAAGCATATTGCTAATTTATTAGCAAAGAAAGCTATACTATATCCGATACCAGAGCAATTCCCCACTTGTTTTTCTTGTGAATATTTTTGTTGAGAATTAATTTTGAATGATATAAATGTCGGATTAGTTGGAAATTATTTGCGAATATTTTTTTGAAAAATTGTTTTCGAGCCTAGTGCTCCATATGGAGGGTTATCATATTCAATCATCTGTTATTTTCTCAAGAATATATCCACCATACCTCAGCATCAATTTGAGGTTTTACGATTGTTTTTTTTAATGTTTTTATGAGGAACTAGGATGGTTAAATGAGAAACAGATAATTAAGTTTCGTAGTATATTGTTACATACTTTCACTTCAACGTGTTTTTTTAATGACACAGAACTGTAGATAAAAATGAGGTTAGAAAAACACTCGATAACTCGGAGAGTTATCAAGTCGGTATTCTACTAACGTGTCGGTAATAAAGAAAATGTTTATTTCACAACACTCCCACTAACATTTTACTTTACAGTCCTCAATAATTTTTAGTCACTTTCAGCATCTCCCTCAGCTTCTCGAATGTCATCCTCGGAAGAGCCTTGGTGAAGATATCGGTTTCCTGGTCCTCGGTTTTAATGTATTCACCATCAAACAGCTGTTCACGATACTTCTCGCAGATGAATTTCAGCTTTGTATCCACGTGTTTAGCCTTGGGCTCATAGAGGCCATTCTTTTTCCAGCAAATTGCTGCCTGATTGTCCACACGTAGTGTTGCTCTCTTCATACTGGTTTTCGACAGTTCGCTCAACATTTTTCTGGACTAGATAATCTCCAGAGATGCCGTACAGGCGGCTGTGAATTCTGCTTCTGTGGTGGAGAGAGTCACTGCCTTCTATCTTTTGGATGCTCAGATGAGTGGGGTGTTCTCCAGCTTCCCGAGATACCCAGTTGTTGATCGCCTTGTCTTGGTGTCACCAGCGTAATCTGCATCACTGAAGGCTGTTGTCTGTTCCATGTTTCCTCCGGAGGCTAGCCTTATCCCATAATCAGTTGTGCCCTTGAGATACTTCAAGATACGTTTAACAGCGTTCCAGTGGGCCTTTTGGGGGTTTGAACAGTATTGACTCACTGTATTGACTGCATGGCTGATATCTGGCGTCGTCATGAGTGCTAGGATGAGTAAACTTCCTACCGCTTCCCTGTAGGCACGTGCTGGCTCATATCCTGGTGGTTATCGGCAGGTATCGCCACTGGATTCGCCTCCTCCACATTGAATCTCTTCAGGAACTCCTGAGTGTACAGTTTCTGATATGCCAATGTTGATCCATCTCTCATTTTCTCGAATTGGATCTCCAAGAACGTGTTCAAGGGGCTTACTTTGATCTCGAGCTCCTTGCTGAGGTCCTTGATGAGTTTGTTGATCTTTCCTGAATCCTTCAAGATCACCAGTCAATCAAGTCTCTGTTCCCACTTATAAATACACAGGGGTCTGTCTGTGTCGCTGTGAGGTTGAATCTAGTCAGGCCATTAGTGAATTTCTCGTTCCAGCATCTGGGATTTGTTTCAGGCCATAGAGACCCCTTTTTAGCTTGCACACTCGGTCTGATGCATCGTCGTAGCTCTCGGGTTGCTTCATGTACACATCCTCATGAAGACTTTCGTAGAGGAATGCAGTTTTCACATCGAACTGCCTCGCCTGCATTTTTCCAGCAGCCATGAGTGCTAGACACATCCTAATGGATTCAGTTCTCGCCACTGGACTGTACGTCTCACGAGTCTGGCCCGATACCTATCAATTGATCCATCAGGTCTGTATTTGAGCTTGTATATCCAACGGTTATTTAGGATGTTTGCTTTCCTCCGTTTCTGCACCATTGTCCAGGTCTGGTTCTTATTAAGAGCATCCATCTTCTCAGTCATGGCTCTTCTCCAGTGTGCTCTTTGTTGACTTTGCTCGGCGTCCTTGAATGTGAGTGGCTCTTGTTGTTACGACATCAGCGCCATCAGTACTGACTCATCCGTTACCGGTTCCTGTTGGTGATCGGGGAATGTTGAATACTCAATATAAATGCTCCTGCGATTGATGGTGTTTTCCACAGGTTGATTATCCCCTGGAGGCTCTTCAAACTCCTGTAGTGTACGGGTAATGGAGTCTCCTTCTTCTGGTATGACATCTAGGAATTCTTCGTCTTCCTCAGAGCTCTCTGATTCTTTCCTGTTGGACTCCTGATCTTCCACCAGGTCTTCTTTTTCATCAGGACCACTTGACCCAAGGTTTCTTCCATCAGAGCCTTCTTCCTCTGGCCAACCCCATTTTATTCGTTCAGCAAGGGGTTCTATGTCTGTTATAACTCTGTCCTCATCAAAAATCACATGACAGCGAACCTCAACCTTTTTCAGCTCTGGTATCCATGCTCTATAGCCTTTAACCTCTTCATCGTAGCCCACCACTGCAGTGTTACCAGATCGTGACGTCACCCCATTTAAAATTGTACAGGTTTTGGCTATAAACCGCCAAAATCTGGCAATCCTGCACCACTGTTCCTTTTATGGCTCTCCACTCAAATTTCCCCTTTCGTTTCTGTTTGGGGACGTGTATGAACACCTCACTACCTATCTTCCTGAATATTTTTAGTTCTGGTTTCTGATGCCACAGCTCATATGGAGTCTTTCCCTTCTGACTGCTGGTCCCTATTCTGTTGATGATGAACACTGCAGCGTTGACTGCCTCTGCCCAGAGGTATTTCGGGAGATTCGCTGCAACCATCATCGTCCTGGCTGCCTCGACCACAGTTCTGTGCTCTCGTTCGATTTTCCCATTTTGCTCTGGGACATATGGCACCGATTTCTGATATTTAATGCTATTTTTCTCGAGGATACTCTTCAGGGTGGCATTCACGAACTTCAGTCCGTTGTCGGTTCGCCGAATGTTGATCTTCTCATTTGTTTCCTTCTCCATTCTGATCATAAGTGCTGAAGGTGACTAGGGACTTCATTTTTCGTCTTCATGAAGTACACTTCTCTGTAATGTGAGTAGTCATCTTTAAAAAGGAGGAAATACTCGGCCTTTCCGAGTGATTTCGTTTCCACCTTCCCACAGACTTCACTGTGTATAATTTCACCTACTCTCTTGGTCTTACTCCTTGACGTTGGATGTGTTGAAAGTTTTGGTGCGCCAGTCTCTCGTGCCATGTCTTCAGGGGTGATATCAGAGCCTGCTCCTGAGCATTCCTCACTGTTGTCATTGCTTTCTGTGGGGTTAGTATCTGTAATTTCATTTTCCACGACATTCTCTTTCGTATACCCAGTGCTACGACCTGACCATTTTTCTTAAACCAAGCACTTTTGTTGGCTGCTCCATGTTCGAGACCTTCGTCTGTAGCTGCTGCGGTTGAGAACAGATTGAACTTTAGTTCAGGGACGTATAGTGTGTTCTGGATATGTTTTTCCACCCACTTTTCACCATTGTAGGCCAAAATATTGATATTATCTCGTCCTACCCCTGTTATGACCTTTCCATCACCAATGACAATCCTCTCTGGGTTGTTTAAATACTTCAGATTGGCAAACCAGTCTCTCCTTGATGACATGTGGCTCGAAGCTGCTGAGCCTAGATACCAGTTCTCTGTAGGACTCTCCGATGTCTGTATCGAGGCCAGTAGGTGCGTCATCAGAGCCCCACCCCGAGCATTCCAGCCTTTTTTTCCGTCTTCATACCTTTTTGACAGGTCCTTGAGCTTTTCGCGACACTCGTACTCCCAGTGTCCTTCTTTGTGACAGTCATTGCCCTCGCCAGACCTTTTGGGGTGACCTGATCCTTTTCCTTTGCCAGATTTCCTCTGATCCTTAGAATTCTCGCCCTTGGCTGCGAGTGCTCCACCTTTGACACCTTTAGCCCTCGATATCAATCCACTGGAACCTGCTTGAGCATCCTGATGTTTCATCCTGATCTCCTCAGCTATCAGTCATGAGGTGATGTTATTGAGAGTCCTCTCACCAGAGGCTGTTGATCCCAGGCTGAACAGAAGTAATTTAGGGTCGGTGGCAGTGTCAACAGTATTTTTGTAATAATCATGTTGTCTGAAACTGTCTCACCCAGAGCCTTTGGTCGGTGAGCCACGTCCTTGGCCTTGGTGATGTGGTCTGCGATGTCATCCTTGGGATCCTTTGCGAGCACGAATCACTCCTGATGCAGGATGCAGGATGTTTGGATTAGGTCAAGAAATTTTTAAGAATTCGTTTTGGGTGTCGTTTTCCTCTCGAGCATCCGCTTCGAAGATTTGTCTGGTTTGTCGTTCCCCGGAGACAAAGGATGGCTGGCGTACATCAATTCGTTTTATTTTATTTAATCCAAAGGGAATGGGTAAGTTCACGTAATTTTGCCAAGCCCAGATGGAAAATTCCGTTACAAACTTCAAGATCGAAAACGGGTCTGATTTGAAGATCTTTAGGTCGGTTTAAGTTCGGTGAGGTGTAAGACCCATTGCCAATGTAAGATCGATACAGCGATAAAGATCGAAAATACAATACCAATTTAGAGTCTTATGTGAAACTATACTAATCAATCGATAAATTGATTCATTAATTAATTTATCGACATACGAATTTGCTCAATAACTCAATTAATGGTTTATTGAGTTACTAATTTAACAAACCATTAATTTTCACCCTTAAATTTTGACCTTTATATTTTGACCTTTAGTTTTTTCCTTTGATGACCCTTAAAGTGTGAACCTTATAGTTCGATCCTCATATTCAGACCCTTAATTTCTGACCCCTATGGTTCTCAAATTCGAAACCTTACATTGTGACCTTTATGACCCTTATATTTTGACCCTTAGATTTTGGACCCTAGATGTGGACCCTGATATTGAGACTTTCACCCGTATATTTTGGCACTCATATTGTGATCCTTGTGACCCTTAAATTTTGAATCGTAGATTTTGACCCTTATATTTTGACGCTTACGACGCTTACATTTTGACCCTTGTGACCCTTAAATTTCGAACCTTAGATTGAGACCCTCATATTCAGATGTGACCCTTCTATTTAGACCTTTATAAACTCGTAGATTTTAATCGTAGTGACCCTTGAATTCGAAACCTTCGATTTTGATCCTTATATTCAGACGCTTGTGACCCTTAAATTCCTAACCGTAGATTTTGACCCTTATATTCGGACCCTTATGATGTGACCCTTGTATTTTGACCCTTAAGACCATTTGATTTGACCTTTGTGATCCTAAAATTCGACACCTTAGATTTTGACCCTTGTATTTGGTCCGAATTTTTAAAAAATTAGAAAATCCCCCTTGAACAAAAATTGTCTCGAAAAGTTGGGCTCAGATGTGTCGAAATCATCTGAAACGTGAAGATATCCTATTCTCCGGAATAGGATATTTCATACCTAGGGAGAAAAATTGAAGAAGTCGTGCCCACGTGCAGAATTACCACCCGCACCGAAGGCGAGGGTGGTAAGCGCGTGCGTAAGGGTCCTTTATTTCACCTCCCGTAGTCAGAACGTTATTTTCTGTCACAGCGTAGGCGCAAAGTCAGATTTCCTTCCCATAACGCCGGAGGGAAATGCGCACTTTGCGTCCGCCGTCGCGGAAAAATGCTTACATACGACCTTTTGGCTAAAAGTTTCAGGAAAATCTAAAAAAAAGTCTATACGACTTTTTGGCACAACTCACGCGATATATAAAGGTCTGAATATAAAGGTCAAAATCTAAGGATCAAAATCTAAGGGTCAAATTATGAGTATCAAAATGTAAGGGTTAAAATATAAGGATCTGAATGTAAGGGTCAAAAACTAAGGATCAAAATTTGAGGGTCACAGGGGTCACCCCTGTCAAAATATAAGTATCAACTGTGAGGTATTTTTCCAAGCGCATCTGCGGGATTCAGATGCGTGGTTCTCCACGAACTTTTAGCGACCCTTTGGACGCTCTCCATCCGAAATTAGAATGACGGGGATAAACGAGAAGAGACAAAATACCAAAAAGGGCGCCAGTCCTTTCAACCGCCAAAGAACAAGGTCATACAGTTGAGACGCGTTCCACGACTAGCTCAGATAACCGCGGAGGCGTGTGGAAAAAGGCTACAATGAGCGTAACTCAACACTATGTAAATTTTAGAAAGTAACAAAAAAATATATATTTCAATCCAGGAGTTACGGTAGGCACGTTTTACTCGTCCATACGATAGTCAACGTAGAATTTTTTGTACAAGTGCGGGAGAGGACTCCCGCAAGCAAAGACGCTACACAAACCAAATTAACTCAAAAGGAAGCAATCTTGCTTCAGTGATTAATTGAACAAACCAGGTTCAATCTTGACCTTAAGTGAGCTTAATAAAAAAAAATTATATAATTCAATTATTGATAATAACCAACGAAAGAAATAATAATAGTTTCGAAGGTGCGTGGTAGACGCTAGGACGCGAGGATCACGCGAGAGCCATGACACGAAAAATTATTGGGGAAGATTAACACAATAAATGAGTAATGACCAATTTTTCCCCACACAGCAAATGTCCGTAATAATAATGAACAACAAAGAATCAAAATTATAAGACTAATCAAATAATTAAGTAGCTGAAGGCTACTGAGTGCCGCGTCACAAGCAGACTCGAATGAAGTCTCAAACGGTCCCAAAATGGACGCCGGAGTAAATTTACTACGCGAATCACGCGTGCACTCACAATGTAATTCGACGCTCACCGTAATTGCGTGAGAAATGCTCCAGGAAGGTCGTCTGGACCCTCTTAGTGACAGCGACGTCTCGAGGTAGGCCGGAAGAAAATCCGGGTACAACAAAGTAATAATTGTTTTAACAATTTAAAGAAGCTCAAAGAACGTACTAAAACTTTAATTGCGCAGAGCGACTCAATCTGGCTGAACCCCAGCGAAGAGTGTCCGTCGGAGCCGTACATCGCCCCGAGGAACCTCAAAATCTTTTCTACTCCCACCCCGATCACGCGATGAAGCGCGGAGAATTTGCGTTATTATATGATTTTGAATTGGGAATTTTAAAATTGTCATAATTCCCAATTCCTGAGTCCCAGAGAACTGAGACTTGCGCCGCGCGGTCGGTGGATGTGATCCGCGTTGAACGGTGCAGAAGCCAACATAATCCGATGCTCCCTCAATGTTGCAACATGAGTTTTTACTGGGCGGCCTTGCGCCACAGATCTATCGGTGAGGTGGTGGGGGTTCGCACGTAGAGGCCTGAGATGCCTGCTGGTGTGCGTCGATCGTCTCTCGCGTGCTTCGTGGTGTGAGTCTCCCAGACTCGGTATGTGCGTGCTCGTCGGTGTGCTACTCATCTGCTGTAGCGCCGACTTGTAGCCATTCCCGATGCTCCGCTCCACTCCCCTCGTCGCAAAGCTCACTCGTAACCCACGGTGAGCGCGATCGACAGAATTTGAGAAAATAATAAAAGAAAGAATGAATATAAGAAATGAGTAAACTGACAATTGTGGCTCTGGGTGATCCGACTCCTAGCTGGTGTCAAAATACTAATTTTCCCCCCATGATCCGCGGTTAGTTCAGGCGAGGAACAATACATGATTTTTATCATGTTACACAACATACACACAGAAAACGTTGTGCAGATTATCTGCAATCTTATGCAGGTTTTACACATAAGCTCCGCGAACCTCCCACTATGTGTAAAGTCTGCATAGTTATGCATGAAATATGCATAAAGTATGCATGAAATCTGCTAGTAACCAATTGCAGATTATCTGCACTATTTATGCATGTTCCGCCCATAAGAGTTCCGCAGAAAAAAAAGCCAGTACTCATCGAAACTTTAACGAATTGCGACTTTAACAATTCGGAATTTCATAGAGAAAGCAAAAAAAATTGTAAATTCTAAATCAATAATTTAAGGGGATAATGGGACATAATAGAACAGTAGAGGAAAGTGAAAAAGCGCTGTTTGTTGTATTGGTTTCGACTCTTCATCACGCTGTGGGTAGCTAAGTTTCAGTTTGTCTCAGGCTCCCCTATAAAAGGTAAATAAGTTGAAGAAAATAAGTACGCATGAAAAAATTTGGTAGAAAATCCTCGCAAATTTGCTAGACAGTTCTTTTGAATTGTTAAATAGAAAATATTCTATTGATGCAGTTCCACATAAAAACGCAAGGTAAAAAAAGTCAATTACGGGGATTTTTTCGCTAATTTTTTTCTCCTGAGTGGTATGAGAGTTATTTCTCTCTTGCATTTTAACGGTTTAAATGAGAACTTTGATGAAACTTGAAAAAGTAAGAATTCATTTTCTTCGTATATCCATCAAAAACGTCGTTTTTCACGTTTTTAGCTTAGAAATGCCCCTTGTACCACAGTTTTCATCCGATTTCAACTTTTTTTTTTTTAATGTTTACTATACTCCAACGAAAAAACCCAAGAATCCGTTTTGCATTATATTTATCAGATAATGAGAAAATGATTTTTTTAGTTTCTATTTTTTTTCCTCTTTTTAGCAAATGCTAAAACTAGTTGTTTTTCGTTATTCCACGTTGTAATCATACGTAATCGAAATATTATAACAAAAAAAAATAGGGGGAAAACAACGAATTTTAGCATTTGCTAAAAAGAGGAAAAGAAATAAAAAGTAAAAAAACACATTTTCTCATCATCTAATAAATATAAAGTAAAACGAATACTTGGGTTTTTTCGTTGGAGTATAACGAACATTAAAAAAAAAAAAGTTGTAATCGGATGAAAACTGTGGTCCAAGGAGCCTTTTTAAGCTAAAAACGTGAAAAATGACGTTTTTGGTAAATATACGGGGCAAAACGGTTCGAGTCCGAAATTTTTCTCACTTTTTTATATATCCCTTCATATATCAAAAGTCATCCAATGGCTGTTGAGGCCGAGTCGAGACATTCAAATTTCACCGCGGTCTCCCCTTAAAAAATTTTTTTCTGAATGTTGTTTA